GCGTAACTTATTGGCTTTTGTTTCGTCAGTGGTAGTGTTATTTTCGGTCGCGAGTTGGTGTTTGTTTTTCTTGTTGATGGTATCTTTGATGTTGTTCATACAGCTATAGCTGACTTTGATTGTATTTTTTTTGAATATTTTCTTGAGATTGTTCCCGGTAGGAAAGCACTTGTCGATTAGATCCAGGAATCGCTTTTCCATACTGTTACGGACGTTGCAGCTATATGGTGGGTTGAACCAAAGCACGTTGCTATGCGGCCGTTTTTTTTTACCCTTCCCCGTTGGGGGCTCAAACTTTAATTGGTGTTTGTAGCCGCTATTGCGTAGAGCTCTTTGGTAGGGTGGTGCCGCGATGTCAAACATCCTCTTATCGGACGATATTGAAGAAAGACGCTTGTTAATCCCGGCCGGGATATTCTTTGTGATGACGGGTGGGTGATTACTCTCCTTGTATACATATACCATGTTGGCATTAGGCTTTATGAAGGGACTGTACGAACTTTCAATGAGGTTTAGCGTGACATCAAGGAAGTTTACGATTTTCTTGTTTGCTTCGATCGTGATCTTTAGGCCGTTGTTTTTAAACACGCGACAGATAGCTTTTTAGCAACGCTGTCTACTTTGTCGAGCGAAGCTTATCATATGAGTGATTGTCCTTCGTCGTCGTCGTCCGTGTCAATGTTTTACTTTTTCGAAAAACTACAAGCCTGAATGCTTTGATACTTGGTGTATGTGTACCTTGGGTAACCCTCTCTTAGGTTTGTTCATTTCATGTTGATATCTTCAATTCTTAAATTTTGGTGAATATTTTTGTAATTTTTGGTAAAAAGTGATATTTTCGACTTCTTGTTAAAAACCGCAAGTCCGATTGCTTTGATATTACATATATAGATACTACATGTGGACCTCTCTCAGATTTGTTCATTTTGTAATGATATCTTCAATTCTCTAATTTTGGTGAATATTTTTGGTAAAAATTTTTGACTTCTTGTTAAAAACTGTAAGTCCGATTGCTTTGATACTATACATATTGTTCATTTTCTAATGATGTCTTCAGTTCTTTAATTGAAATGTGCATTGCTAACAGCGGAGCTATCTCAGCCGATAGGCTGCTTGTTTGATTTTTTCAGTCTCTTTGGGTGTGGCGTCTAAGGCAGCTAAGCCATCATCTCTGTATAGACCGATGTGAACGTTCTTTTCTAACTGTGCTTTGAGCTGTGAAAGAAAGAAGCAGCCCACAAGTTCGCAGGTCTCTGTGCCGTTGAAACTTCCCATATTGACATCAAACGTGTTGGAGCCCCTCTTTTGCCACGGCGATTGATTAAAGATTAACAACGTTTGTTTGGCGTGGGTGATGATGTTTATTTCTTCATCCGGGATATTATCGTAAGCTGAGGCAAAATTTAGCGCTTTGCTTAATCGATCCTCTCTTATGGATGGGTAGAATTCCACAACGTCAAAACAAATATAGTTATAGCGCGGCATGTTATCGATGTTGTCAAACCATTTTATCACGGAGGACGTATTTTTCCACTGGTGTATATCGGTAGCTTTGATGATTTTCTTGATTATTCTATCCAGGATTTGTTTGCTTATCTTCCCAATTTCAGATTTGGTTGGGTTGATTAGTCTGCACGATTAGACTCCCCCCCCCCACCACTCCACTCTAGAAATGAACTCGTGTCATGCCTACACAGATCAAAAGCTCGTTCAGAGTCATATCTCAGAATCCCTTGGACCGATTCCGTTCATTCTTTGCATGTGCCTAGTACTTTATGTGGGACATATGCACATGCAGTGGTTTAGCGATTCTATTCAAAATGGCCGACTGGCAGCCATCTTATTTGTTGAAAATGTTGTATTTTGGACATGCTTTGTCAGTTTTCATTCAAATTTAGTACATAGATCATGCATGTTATGATACATGTCCCCGACCATCCGTGAGTTCCTGAGTCTGTCCATCCGTCCATGTGTCCGTACATCCCTCAGTCCGTCCAGAGTCATAATTCAGAATCCTGTAGACCGATTCCATTCATTCTTTGCATCCCTATTATCTTATGTTGGACGAATGCACATGCAGTGGTTTAGCAATTCGATTCAAAATGGCCGACTGGCAGCCATCTTGTTTTTTGAAAATGCCGTATTTTGAACATGCTTTGTCAGTTTTCATTCAAATTTAGTACATAGATCATACATGTTATGATACATGTCCCCGACCATCCGTGAGTTCCTGAGTCTGTCCATCCGTCCATGTGTCCGTACATCCCTCAGTCCGTCCAGAGTCATAATTCAGAATCCTGTAGACCGATTCCATTCATTCTTTGCATCCCTATTATCTTATGTTGGACGAATGCACATGCAGTGGTTTAGCAATTCGATTCAAAATGGCCGACTGGCAGCCATCTTGTTTTTTGAAAATGTTGTATTTTGGACATGCTTTGTCAGTTGTCATTCAAGCTTGGTACATAGATTATACATGTTAGGATACATGTCTATGACGATTTATTGCGCAATTGGTTCAAAGATGGTAGACTGGCAGGCATTTTGTTTTTGTTTATTTTATGCGGTATCTTGGACGTGCTCTGTCAGTTTTCATTCAAATTTGGCACATACATGTACTTTATACATATTAGGACGCATGTCCATGGCAATTTGTTTTAAAATCTGGTCAAGGATGGCCGATTGACAGCCATCTGACTTTTTGGCCTTACTACTATATTTCCACAATTTATGTAACATTTTCATTCGTATTTGGCACATACATCATGCATATCAGTGTGTTTCATAATCAAAGATGGCCGAATAACTGCCGTTTTTATTTTGGCCATATTACTACTACACTGAACACGTGTTTTGATGTAAATAAACAATCTGTTGTATACGCCACTTGGAACTCAAGTTTCAAGGACACGCTCGCGACAACCCCTCTGCTTTAATATGACAAGCACAAAGAGAACTTAATTTAACGGGGACTGTGTAATTTTTAATGACTTGTTTTAATTAATATGTTAATTTGCGAAGCTTATAATGTATGCTCTTCGGTGCAGTGAATTATTAAACATAAAGCTCCTGATGAGTGAGGTACTTGTACCTTACGAAACAGTGCTGTCGAGTTTCAATATTCATGTAGTTGTGTATTAATTCCTCTATCACCGTACCGTATTATATATATATATTTATTTATCTGTTCTATTTTTATAGAAGAACCTTCCCAAGGTAGTCACTAAACCATGTACTTTCACACTCAAGCAAGAGAATAGACATGTTGGTGAACTCGCCTTGCTCTGTGAGTGTATTGTTTACACTCAAGTTTTTTTCACAAATAAAAAAATTTTAAAAAAAAGAACTGCAGACCACACTTCTTTATATTTTTTAGTGGGTAAGCCATGTTTCCACATACAAAAATACACATAATATTTCTATTTAATTTATTGTATTTAAAAAAAAAATATTTTAGAAGCATAACAATACAACGACTAGATTTGGTGTCACAGTTTGCTCCCAATTCATACTGGAATATTGCCAGCAATAATTAATAAAGCTTGTTCAGAAAACCATTTATTCCCGACATCATATTCAATGGCTAGTTCTCAGGATCTACAACAGTAAATAAATAAACAGAAATCATTTTGATGCGTGGTTTTTAGACGACCCTGCCATATCGCACAGATATTCAACACCACCATATCGAATTTGGATTTGGACCATACCATTTCAAGCTGCAGGGTGTCTAAACAATGACTCAACAAACAATAAACACATCTTCCCACCCACCACACAAATTTTAGCCACAATTGAACAACCAAGAAAGCAACAAATATCAGGCTGCATCTTGAAAACAACGAGATACCGCATTACAACCAGTCATTACAAACATGAAATCCTCCACCCCTTCCAGTGCACCCTACAACATTAATGGTTTCTATACTCATTTGCATCTATGTACAACAAGCTTAGCCAATAGATGCACCTGACTCATCAAACTTTTGACCAACCACTCATTCTAAATATTGTTGAGTAAGGGCGCTATTTACTAATGAGAGGAATCTTTTAAATAAATTAAACAGTTAGTTATTTAGAGGTGAGCGGTCCTAGGAAAAGGGGGAAGGCCAAAGAAGACGTGGAAGATGCAATCGGAGGAGGAGAGTGGGAAGGTTGGGATGAGGATGAGGGATGCAAAGTGGAGGGAGGGGGTAAGAGCGATTGCCACTAGTTTAAGGTGAATCCGGCCACCCTCTTCTTCGGGGACCAAACCGGATTTAAAACTCTGGACTACTACTAGTCTAGATGTGGGAGTCTATTATTCCAAAACAAAAGTGCTCAATACAAAGTATACATGTATGTAGAGCGGATAAATAAGGTAAGAGAGGAATTAATGCACAACTACATGAATATTGAAACTCGACAGCACTGTTTCGTAAGGTACAAGTACCTCACTCATCAGGAGCTTTATGTTTAATAATTCACTGCACCAACGAGCATACATTATAAACTTCGCAAATTAACATACCCGTATTAATCAAAAAATTAATTAAAAATAAAAAACATACAGATTTAAGTGTTACATAATAAAGTTTTTTTCTTTTGTTCAGTGTGGAGTGGTGAGGTCTAATAATAATTATTATAAATTTTTCCTTCAAACATAGAATGCATCGTTGGCTGGAGTTACTGTATGGGGCTACCACGAGCAAGAATTTTCCATGTTATTCTATGCTCTATACCAAACATGTTTACTTAGTTCTGCTACATTTCTAGAGGCCTGATTACGAAATGAGGCAGTGTGGTTTCTATACCTTGTTTTGAATCCATTTCCAGTGAGCCTGATGTACGTTTTGCGAGTTTGTTTGTCTAATTGCGTAACTTCTGTTTGGTATATCACGCCGGACATGCACTGACTAGCAGCGAACTGTTAGCTCAGTAAACCAGCTGTATTTGGCAGTGGCAAACATTGTTGACAGTGTTAGTTCAGTTTTCTTGACTCCTGTTTTTTTTTATTGCAGACGATCATTCAGTAAGTATCAATCTCTTCAGCAAGCACCTGAATCTGGAGATTCAGTTCGGGTTCCAAGGTTCATTCGTCGGAGACAAAACAGAATTTCACTTGGTACATTCAGTAAGGGAGTAGAAAAGTATCTTGAAGAGTTACATAAAGAGGATCATGTGAATGATCAACGTGAACACAATACATTAAATGATACTTCTACTGACATGTTTGATAATGCTGACACACAAGAAGAAAATCAGCCTGATCACATTGAAAAAGATTATTTTTCAGAAGCCAATGCACTGTCGAGAGATGTAAATGTGAGACAGACGCATCTGCCAATAGCAGAATCTACTCGGCTTTATGAGAATGACTTGTCAGAGTCAGATGAACTACATCATAATGATGATGCAAAGAACAAGATGTTTATTGAGAAAAAACAAAATTTTGATCATGTCTCCGATAATGAGGTAGATGATGATGATGATGATGTTGATGATGCTGCTGATGGTGAGGAGAACGATGATAATAGCGATGCTAAGGTGGATGATAACTATGGTGAAGTGAATGATGCACATCAGGTAATAGATGATGATGATGATGATGCTGCTGATGGTGAGGAGGACATGGATGACAACAATGGTGAAGTGAATGATGCACATCAGATAGATGATGATGATGAGATGGATGATGAAGACATCAATGCTGAGGTACAATATAATGACGATGATGATGCTGCCAAGATGGATGAACATGAGGCTATTAACGATGCTGATAATCATAATACTAATGAAGAAGAAGAATGTGATATTGCCTCTGAGGAGGAGGATTATATTGTGATTGAAGAGGGTCATGTGTCGGAAGTTGATGTAATGGTAAGTGCTTGACTGTGCATGAAAATATTTATGTACTTAGATGCTATTAAAAAATTGTTGGCTTATTTCAAGATTTACTTCTAAGATTATTGTACAATTATTTCATGATTCTTCCATGAAAATAAATTATAGCTTTCATGGCAATGACAGTGCATCCAAGCATGATATATGAGCTCATCCATACTGCTCACAAAGAACAAGTTAATTACAATTTATGCTGCATGTAAGTAGAGGGTTCAGACAACAGTGGTATGTCTATGCAAGTCTTGTTCAGCTCTTAAGAAGTGAAATCAATCAGAAATATTGTTACAAGTTGCTTTCTAGTAACCAATCATAACTCTTGTTACATGCTTCTCTTCTGTAGTCAATTAAGCATCTCATTACATGCTTTCTAGTAAGGCGAATTTTGTGAGCGGAAAGTTGTTTGAGTGTGACTTGCATAAGTACTTGGTCAGACGTTGTTGACAACACCAGTGAGAAGAATTAAATCGACTGAATCTCTCGCTACATTGAATTTTAATTACATTGAACAAGTTCTTGCATGTAATTATATTTTGTAGGAAGAAAACAGAGTTGGACTTCAGAGAAAGATGTTGCCAATCAGGTAATACTGCATGTTTGCTTTCTCTAGGATTATTCTAAATATTCTCCCAGTTTTTGTGCAGAATTTGTTGGAAATGTGGTCTTTGAAATCTCCTAAATCTTTACATGTCAGTAAATTTTCACTCCTACATTCTGCATATCACAATGTGTTAATTGTTTACATTATACCAACTTTAACTGACATGAACCAACTATTGAATTCTAGCAGTCACCAATCAGTGTACATACTACTAGCAGTAACCAATCATTAGTTTACATACTACTAGCAGTAACCAATCATTAGTGTACTTACTACTAGCAGTAACCAATCATTAGTGTACTTACTACTAGCAGTAACCAATCATTAGTGTACATACTACTAGCAGTAACCAATCATTT